ATGCATGGAACTAAAACAAAGCTTAATATAAAGGAAAAGCTGGAGAGGTGACGGAATTACCTACGATGTCGGAATATACCGCGTTTACCCTAATTTAGACTCTCCCTGTCCCTCAAGTTCATTTTTTAGTCATATAAGTAGACCAGCAAACTGCAAAGTATCCTGTATACTGTAAACTGGGGTAACTTGACCACTTTTTTTTGAAATGATGCCATTTTTTTACTAGATAAGTTAAACTTAAATTGAAACATGCAAAATACAGGTCTATACTCTAGCTTTACTCACCATAAATCAGGGTGGCCCAGTGGTTAAAGTTCAGAGTACCAGGATTGGCGCAGAGAGGCGCGGGTTTGATCCCAGCTCTGTGCACCAGTTTCTGGTCAGAATCGGCAAGGAGGCCGGGCGGTTAAGCACAGCAGAATTGTAGCAGTGAGTTGCGAGTTTGAGACCGCAAAATACTGTTAATGTTCTGCGATGTTAAGAATCGGCGACAGGCCGACGGCCTAATAATGCTGAAACCGCTATTATTATTATTATTATTATTATTATAAATTGCTGGCTCCTGCCTCTCATAGTTTTGATGTAATTTAAAAAAAAGTGATGTCTTTGTTACCCCAGCTCTTGGGGTTTCTTTGACCGGGTATAAAAAAATTGGAGGGGGTACTCTGACAGGCTTTAAATAATAGCTCTTTTTTGTGGGTCACATTTTTAATTTTTTAACCTATTAGATATGCAAACTTTTTAAATCTAAAAAGTTTGCATATCTTCTATTGCGTTATGTAGCCTCAGTATTAGGCCTTTGATGGCCATTGACAAAATTTTTCTATGTCGAATCGTTTTTGAGTTTTAGGGGTTTTTGTTAAAAAAACGAAAATTGGAAATGAGGAATTTAAAAATGAACTGATTCTAAAAATCTCTGGTTTGTAACTCTGCGGGCCATGCTTGGGATCAATTTCTCTAGTTCTGCCAATTCTTGCTCAAGATTTGAATTAGCCAACATTTCTACTTATTACTGAAATAGGTACCATATCACTGCTCAAAGTTCAAACTCCAAAGTGACATAGCTACTGCAATCTGCCATCAGCAGAGTCTGAGCAGAGATCCTACCTAAGGCTACCTTGGCATTTTGGCAATTGGCATCATTTTAGCAATGAATTCAGGGTCATCAGCCTAAGTTGTATCAATACTATAAGATTGGGCTGTACAAATTGACTACTGTTGAAATTTAATCAGCCTGAATATAAAGCACAATCTTACTAGTTCCACATTTTTCTTTGATAAATTTTATATATGAAATAGATACACTGCCACTAATTTAAGCCATTTTACTTGAAAATATTTATTCAATATCATCTCACATATCCTTTCATATTTAAATATGCCTAACCACCTTTTTCAACAAGAATCAATAGTATTTTCTATTTACACAATTGAGCAATTACTATTAATCCATTTTTTGAACAGGCTGGTCCATACCACCTGGCTTTTGAAGGCTTCTTGCTGGTGTGGGTCATCTGGCTCCTGGTTGCTGCCAAGTCACGGCCTCGCCCTATCAAGCTCACTAAGAAGGTATAAATTGGGTCTCACATCACACCATTGGGTCTCGCATCAGGAGGTATAAATTGGGTCTCGCATCCAACCATTAGGTCTCACATCAGAAGGTATAAATTGGGTCTCACATCAAACCATTGGGTCTCGCATCAAACCATTGGGTCTCACATCAGACCATTGGGTCTCACATCACAAGGTATATATCCTGGCTGAGGGCGGCACGCAGCCTCTTACTGAGGCTCAGAGGAACCAGATCCTATATATACATTGGGTCTCACATCAAACCATTGGGTCTCGCATCAGGAGGTATGAATTGGGTCTTGCATCAAACCATTGGGTCTTGCATCAAACCATTGGGTCTCACATCAGGAGGTATAAATTGGGTCTCGCATCAATCCATTGGGTATCGCATCAAACCATTGGGTCTCTCACACTTGCATAAAGTCAGAGACAGTGCGTGAATTAAATGGCGGAATAAATAATTTAAAAGAAGTAAAAATTTTTGTGATATATGAAAAAAGTTTGAAAAATAATTTTTCTTACTTTTTAGCTGAAAAATCAAATTAGAAATTCATTGTACATGTGTAACATCAGAGACACTGGCCTCTTCAGAAATGTTGTCTTAAAAAGTAATTTTTAAATGCATATTATTTAATAACTGTTCAGCTTTTCCTCTCTCTAATCCCTCCCTCTTACTTCATGCACATGGGCTGCACATGCATGTACATTAACATGTAGGTTTGGTTTCTTGTGGGGCTTGAGTGGTCTTGGCTAGTGCTAAGTCTTCTATTTTTTTGTTAGATTGAACACTGGTAGTTTCTGCCAATTTTGGTTCTTTAGCTTAGAATGTGGCTGGAATATATTTCCTTCACTCATTGACAAACATTGGTGCCATGATTCTATCAAGTCCATATTATGCTTCCTTATATACTAAGAATTTGACATGAATTTGATGATTGAACTGGGTGGTTAAGTGTAGGCAGAGTTAAACAATGAATGTGCCAATTATTTTATGCAGGAGGAGGAGCAGCTACTGGCAGAGTGGACGCCTGAACCGCTGCTTAGCTCTGCGCCTGACCCTGAACACCCAGCCCTTAACACACGTACTGTTAAGGGCAAGGTAAATGCAACTCTTCTGTTGAGAGTAGCTCTTGGCATACTCGTGTTGAGAGCAGGGCAAGGACAGCTTTTGTTTAGAAGGAAGCTAGTGTCATATACATTGCCTTTGAAACAGCCCAATACTCTACTATCTAAACTGATACCTGCTAACCATTTACCAGCTGGGCCACTACGTTGACCTTGGTAGTGGTCCGCTGCTGAACCTGGCAAGCCATGACTACTTGCGCTTCAGTGAGCATGAAGGCATCGAGACTGCCGCCCTGGAGTGCCTCCACCAGTATGGTGTGGGTTCCTGTGGCCCTCGAGGTTTCTATGGCACAACAGGTGAGCCACAATGAGGCAGTGACACGGTGGTGTGGTTGCTAGGAGACAATAATGCTACAATGAAGCAGTGTCACCTTTGAGGCAATGGAAGAACAATGTAGGGTCTACTTCACCTTCTCAGTTTCCAATATCTCCTACCTTGATTTATTCACTCTAGATGGATGGCTCGGATGTAGACACATATCTTCCTAATGAGGATGAACATGGCTGTTCCTCGTCACCTCACTTTACTACTAAATTAAATGACATGACATTACCTCAGTATTTTCTTTTACTTGTAATTTAAAATTTACAAGTATAACTGTCAACCGTCACTTATGTTTGTTAATTTCTGAGTGAATTTAAGAACACATAATGATAATCTGTCCCTTGCAGAGGTGCATCTTGCCTTGGAGCAGCGACTTGCCGAGTTCTTCCAGTGTGAGTCCTGCGTTCTGTATTCATATGGCTTCTCTACCATGGCCTCGGCTATTCCAGCCTACGCCAAAAGTGGTGACGTTATCTTCGCGTGAGTTTTTGAATTTCAACTGAAATTTCCTTGCATAATATTTTTAGGCTCAAGATTGTCCATTTCACCCATTTTTCTTTTCATAATCGCACTGATAGTCAACAGTGTTATACCATTGCTACCTCATGGAGTTGACGAAGTTCTAGTAGAATCATTTTGCACGTAGCATAAGTTATTAGGCTGGACTTTTTGAAACTACTTGATGTGTATAGTACCACTTGAGCATTAATTTTCATTCAATAGGCTTTTCACTGCCGGCATCTTCCACCTGACTTACGAGTTTTTATTTGAATTCCTTCTACTGCCGATAATTTGACATGATTCCGATTTTCCATTCAAAGGCCTTTCATTTCCAATAACCTCTGACGTGACTTTGTTGTGGCAGTGACGAGGCGGTATCCTTCTGCATCCAGCGTGGCCTGCAGGCCTCGCGCTCGCGCATCGTCTACTTCCGTCACAACGACTCAGGGCATCTGCAGCAGCTGCTCGAGCAGCAGGCGATCATTGACAGCAAGGTGGGGGCTCAGCTCCGAGACCAGAATCCAGCAACTGTTGAATATTTACTCGTGCAAGATTTAATTCAACAGCAGTGTAGCTGTCAGTGTAGTTGACTACTCGGACTGCAAGGTGTGAGCTCAGCTCCCTGAGTAGAACAAAGGAACTGTCGAATATTTTCTTATGCTAGATAGCATATTAAACTTAAGATAGCATATTATACTCAAGATGGCATATTAAAATATCAATAGCAGTGTATCAGTCAGTGTAATTGGCTACACTGACAACAAGGCTCTGCAGCCTAATGGGCTAGAGCTGCCCTCCTATAGTGATGAAAAAAATGCTTGTGCTTCTCTCGAAAAATTTCTCCTCTGTTCGCAGACGGTAACTATTTACTAGGTCTTTAGATACGATTATATATCATTGGTGTATTTATTTCGAGAGATCTACGAAAATTCAGTGTTAATGAATAGTATTGTTGCCGGGTGGATGTCTCACGTTGCGGGTGAGGTAACTGTGTTACCTACTTTGAGTTTGATTTGGCAACAACCCTTCTATCTAGTTTGATAAAGGCGAATGAAAGACTGGTGTCTTAATCTCTTAAATTGAAGTAAAAATTCGGTGACAATGTAATGTGTGAATAAGTTTAACTGCATTCAGGAGTTATGATTAGGGCTAGGGGAAGGGAGCATGGACAGGGTTACACATATTCCGTCATTGATGAACTGAAAAATAAAGAGAACAAAAATCAATAACCTGTCCAACTAGATAATAATAATAAGCCTGAAGGGAACTTGAATGTTAAAACTGATGCAATAAATACTTAAAATAGATTCTTAATTGATGGCAAGCTGGTTGCGTGCAGCAAGCAAGAAATATGAAAAACAAAACAGACAAACATAATATTGGGAGTGAAATCAGTAAAACACTTGCAAAGATAAGCTAAAACTAGAACCAAGAAAAACCATTCAAGTAATTGGTAAAAGTTATGAAGTTTTCAAGATAAACACACAAAATCAAAGCATTCAAGAATAAATTGCAAGCAAATGACAGTTTAAATAAGAATTGCAATAAACATTGGATGATAAGTGAAGCACTAACAAAGTTAATTAATCAGATTCGCAGGTAGCAAAATTATGGGACACTCACAAAACATCTTTGCAATTAAAGGGATCACACCTAATTAGACTCACCAACAACTTGTGGCAGTTCCACTTAATGACTCATCAATTTAGGGATCAGTAACTGCACTTGCATGGTCCTCGAATCGTTATCACAATAATTGACCAAGTTGCAATAAATAGAATTAGTTTACAGGCTGAAAAGAACAGAAAGAAAACATACATTCAACAATAATTAATAAGTAAACATTAATTCAATAATAATTCATACATAGAGAGCAGATGGTTGGGTGAAAAATATGGGTAGATGCCTCCCGGCAACAGTATACCTATAAGTGTTCAGTACCATCATGATTTATCTCTATCTCGAGCTGATTAGCTATTTTGATTAGCTACTATAAACTTTATGGTGAGGGTTCGTTGTGGAATGATAAGATTGTACAGTAAAAAACTTCTGCCATCAACGAACAATCATTGTTGAACCAAGTTTTCGAAACGGCAACAATTCAACAATATTTAATTCCGGTCGTTTTTTAGAACCCGAAGAAAGCAAATGCGACCCGCCGCTTTCTCGTTGTCGAGGGACTCTACATGAACACGGGCAACATCTGCCGCCTGCCTGAGCTCGTCGAGCTCCGCCACAAGTACAAACTGCGCCTCTTCATTGACGAGTCTTGCGCCTTCGGCACCCTCGGTCCCCACGGCCGCGGCGCCCTCGACCACTTCAATATCCCCGTGAGTTAAGGGGACTTGTGTAGCTGCTGCTAGCAGTACTTGGGATCCATTGCTACGGCTTGTGTTTTAACTTGACATTTATTAATCACATATGGAACTTGGCTTCGTCGCTTTTTTAAGAATTGCTGCACTTTCTGAATAATCGTTGCTTTTAGTGTTTGAAGGATGATAGGTTTTTTTCATTCAGTGCAACTGACTTATTTTTTACTGCCACATAACTTATGTGCTAATTTGTATTTAGTGACGATTTGCGATACTTTCATTTTCAGCAGCTTACCTTTATTAATAGTTGTGTGGTTCAGAACATGAATTATTGGTGATGGCTTGTGCAGATGAGCGAGGTGGACCTGATCATGGGCAGCCTGGAGTACGGCGGTGGAAGCACCGGTGGCTTCGCGGCGGGCACGTCATTCGTGGTGGAGCACCAGCGCCTCAACGGCCTGGGCTACGTATTCAGTGCCTCCCTGCCGCCCCTCCTTGCCGCCGCTGCCAAGCAGGTTACGAGTCATCTCCATGGGGCTTAGGTCCTTTGTCTTGGCGCAGCCGATTGAGAAGCTACTCGTGGTAGCACTCTATCAACTATTTTTAATAGCACTGCCTTGGGCCTACAGATACAAAAAAAGACTATGCGCAAAGGGTTTGTCCCCCATCGCCTGCCATGTGATTATAACTGAAGTTTACTCATTCCGACGGAGCACACAAAGCTTCCTGGTTCATGAATGAATTTTACGCCTGTTGGTAACTTGCGGTTGGTTGTTATAGCGTTATTGGAGAGTATTAAAATCACTTGTTTGCTTGAATCGCAAGTTAACCAGGAATTTAAAAGCAAAGAAAATACCACAAAAATTCACCATATCTTTATAAGAGAAAACGTTTCGGAGTCCAGCTCCATCGTCAGTTCAAACCACAGAATTCTGTTCAGAAAAAGTTCAGTCCTAGAACGAAACTTAAACTTAAAGTTCAGTCTTCTACGAAAACTTAAAGATTCCGCTGTACTGTCATCTGAAACATATTTTCAACTTCATGTTTCTGGCTCTGGCCCGGGTATCTTGTATGGTCTGCCCAAAATTCATAAACCAGATTTCAGTGTGAAATTTCAATTTCGCGCAATTTTTGCTGCTTATAATACCCCTAGTTTCAAACTTGCAAAATTTTTGGTTCCGCTTCTGAACTGTCTTACGACAAACCAATATACTGTGGATAACACTTATATGTTCGTAGACCGCCTGAAGAGTTTTACCAATGTTCACGAATTGACTATGGCCTCTTTTGATGTAGAAAATTTATTTACTAATATACCTCTTTCTGCAACCATCGATATTTGTCTCAATTCATTGTTTAAAGATGTCAATGACCTTGTCATGGGTTTTAACCGCAAGCTTTTCAAATTTCTTCTTGAATTATCTGTGCTAAACTCAATTTTCGTATTTGCTGGCAAGTTTTACAGACAAATTGACGGTTGGGGCATGGGACTTCCACTCGGCCCTACCTTTGCCAATATATTCATGTGTTTTCACGAGGCTACATGGTTGGCCAATTGCCCTCTTGATTTTAAGCCAATTTTCTATAACCGATATGTTGACGATACTTTTTTGATTTTTAAGCACCCCTCTCATATGGGCCTTTTCTTTGACTATCTTAATCTCCAACATAAGTCTATCAAATTCACCATAGAGCTGGAATCAGACAATAGCTTGTCTTTCGTTGATTGCAAAGTTACCAAATCTAATGGCCGTTTCCAAACTTCTGTTTTTAGAAAATCGACATTTACCGGCTTAAGCACCAGCTTTTTTAGCTTTTGCTCCTTTCGTTTCAAGTTAAATGGGGTAATTTATGTTTCTAGGACTGAACTTTTTCTGAACAGAATTTTGTGGTTTGAACTGACGATGGAGCTGGACTCCGAAACGTTTTCTCTTATAAAGATATGGTGAATTTTTGTGGTAGGTATTTTCTTTGCTTTTAAATTCCTGGTTATTGGAGAGGCATCATTTTCGAGCAAAGTAAAGAAATTGAATCTTGCTTGTTTAAGGATTTAAATACGAGATGTGATAGTGCGCCATCGTCAAAAGTTTATGGGCGTAGATGCTGAAAATTTTTTGCGTCATTGACTAAAGTATTGCTTGCAGATGTTGGAAATATTGGAGGCTGAGGCTAAAGACTTGGTGCCCACGCTGCAGCACCGTGCTTCACAGCTGCACTCTGGTCTCGCTGTTGCACTTCCAGCTAAGGTAAGCGCACAGTTCTTTTTCCTGCTCCTATACCGTCATAACGAGACACACTTGGTACCAACAGTTTGTGTGTCATGATGAGTCTTTCGTTCCGCACCACGAGTTGTGCTGGCCTCGCCACGAGTTGTGCTGGCCTCACCACGAGTTGTGCTAGTCTCACCATGGCCTCACCACGAGTTGTGCTGGCCTCACCACGAGTTGTACTGGCCTCACCACGAGTTGTGCTGGCCTCACCACGAGTTGTGCTGGTCTCACCATGAGTTTTCCGTGCCTCACCATGAGTTTTCCGTGCCTTACCATGAGTTTTCCGTGCCTTACCATGAGTTTTTGTGCCTCACCACGAGTTTTTCATGCATCACCATGCCTTATGTGCAGATGTGTGTGTCAGGCTCGGTGATTAGCCCCATCAAGCACGTGGCGTTCAAGCCGTCGTCGGGGCTGACGGTGAAGCAGCAGGAGAGCGCCTTGCACCGCATCGTCCAGGAGGTCAGGAATCTGCTCGCGTATCACGTCTACCTATTATGTCTATTGTACCTATTTTACTGATATTGTATTATGTCAGAATATGCATCGTGTTAGGAATAGATATTAGACGGAAGTCGCTAGGATTTTGCAGTTTTGGTAGGTACTGGGATTGGACTGTATCCGGCGAGAATGTGCACTTTTAGATAGGCCTAAAATTGCATCATATCTTCTTTTGGTCGGATTTCAAACTTCATGAAACTCTTCTGCAGTGTACAAATTTGAGATAGTACATGAAACAGCAGCATGGTCTATATTTTTCTCTTTCTTATATATTAAAAAAATTGTTATGACAGTACCACTATGTTTGAATGACTTGTGTTTTAATATTGGTCATAAATGGTAAATTGTAGAGAGTATTCAGTGGTTTACCGCCATCGTACTTTATGCAAGGGTTTCATCATGGGCATGCTCTGAGCCGTATGTGCCCTACAGGTTGAGCAGCGCGGAGTGGCGGTGGTGGTGGCATCTCTGCTACGCTCTAAGGAGGTCTGCCCGCCACCGCCGTCCATCCGCCTCGTGGTCAACGTCCGCCTCACTGACGCCGAGATCACCACCGCCATCACTGCCGTCGCTGACGCCTGCGCCGCCGTCATAGAAGCCGAGGCTCTCTGATCTTCAGGACACACATATTCTTCTGCCTGGCCATTTATTGTTAAGTTTTTATGAATATGCTTACTGTTGTTTCAAAATTAGATCATTTCTTTTCTATCGGCAGCTTTCAGTATTGTCACAATTTTATAAACGTATTAATAACTTAGTTAACATTACTGCTTGTTAGTAATGCTAGCAGAATTGATCTGTTGCTTAGTGGTCGAATATATCGTGCGCTCTCGTCTGTTGTGAGATTGTGTTTAATCCTTATCGTTGAGATATCTTTTAGCATCAAGACTGAAAGAATGGATGCATGTATTCAGTATGTGTAGATGTTTATGTTTCTTTTTGCTGTTCGTAAGCACCATTTAGCCACTGGCTCGCCGTTGTCTCTCTGTCAAACTGGGCTGAATTTTTTTGTTGTTGTTGCGGTGCCATTAGGAAAGAGTGGAAAAGAACAAGATGTGGCGCAGAGTGACCAGAAAGAAGAAGGAGAAATGAAAATGACAGTAGGAGATGAAAAGGCGCATTGCGCATGATTGGGTTGGCTATAGGTGGTTGGAGGTGTTCGGCTACTAGCACTCGGTCATCAGTTCCCAGACTGTGGCTGCTGTCGAAGCCAATTATATTCTGTTAACGCTGGAATTAATAAACGGATAGTTTTTTGAAATTATATTGAGTATAGGAATGATTAAACTGATCGTTTATAGGAATTCTTACACTGATGTTAAGTAGCTGGTTTCCTAACAGCGTGCCCGTTATGTCAAGAATAACCAGTAAATATGCTATGGTTCTCTTGCGACGATTTCATATATTGTTTGCGTTAATTCTTAGTTCAAATTTTCTCACAAGTTGCTTATGTTATCGATCTTACATTTGCATACTTTATTCTTAGCTATTTTTAGTTTTTTTTTATCAATCTTTCTTTGTTTTATTCGTGGATGTTTTTTTTTTCTCAACAAAACAAAGCTGTGCCCTCTTTGTCTCCTGCTATCATAGATAGCACCATGTTTCTAATTTTATGGATAGCACATGAAATATTATTCCGTAACTCAAGTGTATGCGAGTTTTTTTAACGTCTTTTCAAAATAAGTTTATTCGCAGGATCTTGTTGTGCTAAAATTTCTATGATTAATAATTTCGAACCTGAATAGTGATTCGTGGGCCTTGAACAACAAGACTTGGAAATGTGTGGCCTTAATCAGTTAGACTTAATGATATAGAAATAAATGTTTTTATCGATAAAGGTTATTACGACAAGCATCCCAATTTGAATTTTACTGACATGCCTCTCATGAATGTTCATGTTTAGGGGCTCCGTAAGTTGGTTCAGTTGTATTGCGTTACTTTTGATTGTTCATTTTGTTATAGTATGTTGAAGTGAAAGTATCTTGAGGTTGTTATAGGTATTTACTGGCTCTCTGTCTGTTTTTCTTGATGTCCCGCGGTAAAAGGATGGAAGCCACGCTTGTTTAGGTTAAAATTTTTAGGTCAAAAAATTTTCAGGCTGTTACTGAAGTATATAGCATAAGCAGTTGTTGTTACTACTAATTTTGGTGATGCATATTGAATAACTAACAAGAAATTTAGGCTCTCTTAACTATTTCGATTGATTCATTTGTAAATTCTACTATACACAATTATATACGTTCATGTCTCGAGTAAGGTAATGTTACATACATTGAGATCAGCGTGGCTAAGTAAAAACTTTAACATCCCATAAGTGATTCGTGATGCACGCGTTCCGTGTGTATATGCCGAGCGAAAATCACGCGTGCTAACCCTTACTATCTAACGAACCTTTCCTGCTTGTTGCTTATTGATCATACCAGTAATCAGTTTGAGCCTCCGTTTTGCGAGGTGGCCCTAATTAACTGGCTAAATTCCAGAAACCTATCGCTAATGCATCAAATCGGTAGCACCAAGTAGGAAGTTTCTCTTTAAACGACCTCTTGGGGCTCCTGGTAACTCATGATACTTACTCACAAATGACCGATGAACGCAACGCACATATGTGAATGAAAGACATATTTAATTGTCTTACTTTTGACTCGAAGGTTTGTTTGAGAAGTGGTGCGATGTATAGGATAGATAAAGTTTCGAGTTTTTGTGTGTATTTTTAATGTGCAACTGTTCATGCAAATGGTTTTTTAAGGTTATATCTTTCTTGTAGTATAGTAAAGGGTTCTGTAGGCAAGTGATCTAACCTGGTCACTAAATTAGAAGTGGAATAAAAATTTACTCACGTACTAACAAACATTCCATCTAAGACTAAGTGAACCGGACTCAAATTTTTAACATTACTGACTTGTGCGACGTAGAATACAAATTTGCTTTTTATGCTGAATATAATGATGTCACACAATGTTTCAAAAATATACCCGGAAAACTTACTTGGAAGTAATTTCCCGATGAAACTTGTATTTTCTGTTCACATCATTCATTTTTTTATGTCATCACGTTCAAATTAATGTAATTTTGAGTATATGCCGTACAGTCGTCGGTATTATTAGCGCATGAAGGAAAGTAGAATTTCACTGTTGAAGTTATTTTGCGTAAAAATTTTTCAATATATAAAGTAGTATCACAAACATCAAAACTTGATTTGTTAATGTCCTTAACTGAGAGGAGAATTGAAGTTTTACAATGTTTTTGGCAAGGTAGTTGTCATTCATAGTAGTTGTCACTCAAAAGCGGTAAAAGAGTCTTAGCACAAAGTAAGTGCGGCTTATTCGTTTTTGCACTGCACTTGGGCGAATTGGTTTGTTTTAGGGGGGGTGTACTATGATAGTTCCAAAAGTAGACTCGATAGATTTTATGAACTTGATACAGGTAGCATTCAGTAAAATTGTTGGTCATACTGCTTGCAAATCTCTGTAACTCTGGGATGATGGTAAATCATGAATTGATTATTTTTGTGTTATTTATTCGGTCGATATTATAGTGAACGACTTTAGTACAGGAATTCTGCCGAAGCATTCATTGTTTCACTAAGCAACAACGTATACATTGGTTTCCTATGGGAAGCGTGCAACTTCTTCTGATCAAACTGGACTGTTTGATTAACTTGAATTCGAAGCGTTTAAATGAATTATCAAGCTTCCATGTGTATTAATGTAGAGACATGTTACTGGGAATGTCATTTGCGGTAATTTCCAAGTTTGACCAGTGGGCCGGATGACTTCAGTGGACACTGTTCTGCAGCACGTCTGTATCAACGGAGCGGACTGCGATGACCTCAGGTTTCAATAAATTCAATTCTTTTGTGTTGAATACTGTGATGACTGCCTGTGTGAAGGGTGCCTCTATTTGTCTCCACCAGATAAACAAATATTCCCTTGCCTCCTTCTGAGCCCTGCCCATAAGAGATCCGTCTTGTTTGCACATTTGCATTAAAAATTATTTTGTGATAGTCATTTTTGGCTGAAAGAGGCTCCAGGTTGAGCCGCCCAGGCTGGACCCTCACCTAGAGTCTGGGTTCTCGTATGTGGCACAAGGTAGGGCATCCTCTAGCTACTAACTTGGGCAATTTAGCTTAGCGCTATTAATGTAGTCCTTTGTTTTAGAAGAGCAAATTGCTAGCAATTCTTAACAAATAAATGTCACTTTATTTTGAAACACATTTGTACCCTGATCTGCCTTCAGGCTTCAGCAAATTATTTCCCTGAATATGATACTGAAATTTACACCCCAATTATGTGAGCTCTAGTTGATCAATTGATACAATGTTTATGATACTGTATACTAATGATATTTTTCATGTGCACTGACAGTGCACACAGTTGCTGGGACTTCTGCACGGACTAAATCCCTGTGCAAATGTGGGATACTGGGACTTCTGGAACAGCCAAATCCCCCTGCAGACGTGGAGCTACATGGATGCGTCTCCAAAGCTCCAATAAGCATCAAACAAACAAACAAATTCTTTTGTGTTAGTGTTTGTGTTACGTTGTGCATGTGCGGCGTATAATGTAGATGTTTGTCTGTTTTCAGATAGTCTAGAGATTTTTCTGAGTTTCTCACTGCCAATCATGTCTTTTTATTTCTGTTTGTTTGGAACTTACATTGGAGATTTTCCTATGGCTTTTAAGAGCGGCATTAAAATGAAATCCAGACCTGGCACCAAGTGACTTGAACCTGGATCTGGAGCTGCGGGCTGGACGAAGCTCACAGAAACGAAAAGCTGCAAATCATCTGAATTGTCAAGAAAAGATGAATGATATGCTCAGAGACCCTTTATTCTAGGGTCTCTGAGCATAAGGGCAAGAGTTGTAGAACCGGACACGGCGGACACTACAGTTGCTAGCCTACTTGCTATCGCGCCCCCTCATTCCGTCATTCGGCTGTGCGCGCTCACGCCGCGGCCAAGCAGTGTGATGTCCCTATTTCTATTTTCTGACAGTGACTTTGGGGTGTTAGTTTCCACCTCCGGGACTTCCGATTTGTGCATTTTAGAATCATTGTACCTACATCTTTAAATTTAGGCCCAGTTTGAATTCATCTGCTAGCTCCTATCCCCTTGAAATTGTTAATATATAGTTTTTTATTTTTTGCTCTGTCTACCTAGTGTCTAATCTGTCTATTACTTGTAAATTTAGGTTTTTAATTTTGTTCGGTGCATTCAATGTAGGCCTATTAATTTGTGACTTCTGATTTGTGATTCTAGATTCTACGAACTGACGATGGAGCCTCTTAGTTAATTTGTGATTTAAGCAAACAAGCGATATAAATTAGATGAAATCTTTATATAGCAAATTTTAAAAAGTGATTAAAAAAATTTTGTAGGTATGACAGCATTGACAGATTTAACCCATGGCATAGTGACACAGCAGAGAGTTTTTTAGAATCTCCCTCAAGTTCATTTTTGAGTCCTATAAGTAGACCAGAAAAGTCTCATGGATACCAGCTTTATCATACATATGAAATTGGTTCAAATCTTGAGTAAATGAGGAAATTAAAAAATGAACTGATTTTAAAAACCTCTGGTTTGCCACTATGACCCATGGTGGCAATCTAGGATTTGAGGAAACCTCTATTTGGACTCGTTCACTTTTAATCACTTCACTCGTTCACTTTTCAGTTTTCATCATTGGAAATACCACTTCTGTAAGTCTTGTAATCTGTTAGTACATAAATTTGCACAACGAATGGAATAACTCCTTATTAAAAGTTGAATGGTCTATACCTGGTCTATATCAAATTACTACAAAATGTATGCCAGTGCGTGACTGTGCGTGGTATGCATTTAGACGGGCAATTAGCCGTTACATAGTGATCGCGGATTAGAATGTTATTTTCCCGTGCTGTAGAAGAAAGTACGAAATTAATCGCAGCATAAGCACTAACCTCCGGCAGCATAATCATGCATTCTAATAATTCGCAACTGTCATATCAGTTCGCTTATTCAAACATGATATTATTTGTAAAAATTTTCCTGAATATAGGTAATAAAAATGACAGCATCAAAAATATTGCTTGTGTGTTAGCATGCACTATTGCCAACTCGTTTTGACACGGCCCATTCATTCTATTCGTAATCAATATTTATGAAATTAAATACACAGTTTTCAATGCCAATTGCTTTGTGGCATGGATATTTTTTCATATTTCCTCTACTCCCAATTTAAACAGTTTTGGTTAAGTTTGGCTAGGTTAGGTTCCACTCTTTTGCCGTATTAATTGAAGACAAGAGGACGTGAATATAAAAAAACATCGATACTGCTCAATGAGTATTTACATGTCTGCATTAAATTTCATATCTATTGCTAACAAATGGAGAAAAAAATCATGCCAAAGTGGTGTCTAGATGGCTACGCTATGCCACGCTTATGGGATGGCCCACACACTTCTGTCAGACCAGTCACGTTGACAATTTCAGGATGAATTTTTTGGAAAGAATTTTCATAGCGGGTATAATAAGCATAACTAAGTAATTTCAATCATGATAAAGCTAAGAAAAAAGCTATATACAGACAATATTTTTTGCGAGCGCAGTCAAAATTTGTTTCAATTTTAACTAGCTCGATAAAAGCAAATTTGTAGCACGTTTCATGCACATAAGTTTTTATAATCGAAACCAAGCTTAACCTTTCCAACAACAAAGCTATTTATTCAAAATACACTACTGCAAGCGTTAAGGGAATTATATATATGCATTCTGGTATATAAGACCTCTCAGACACTTTCACGACCGGGCTCCCGATCTACAAGTTTCAGTGAGCCTAAAATATCTCCCAAACTAATGAATGCAGCTTGATGAAACTTTGCACACGTCTTCACTAACGTTGATGTTTAGGTCGTGATTATTTTTTAATTGCGCCTTTAATTAAGGATAGGTACACAAAATGCCTGTGCAAGAGGATAGATGTTAGGCTTACTGCGAATTTAGAACCGTATAAGGCGCTACAAAGGTGAAATTGAAAAAAACGATCATGTCCTAAACATCACCGTTTTTTTGAAGATTTGCTAAATTCATTAGTTTTGGAGATATTTTAGGCTTAGTGATGAAAATTAATTAATGCGGGAAGAAGTGAAAAAATGATCATTTATCACTTTCATTTGCTTGAGGGCATTGTGAATGAATAGTTTCGTTTGTAATTTGGTAAAGATCGCTTTTAATTTCATAAAATAACGCGTGGAAAACGTGCCATGAAAATTTGTCTTGTAAGTTTATCTTAAAAATTTGTTCACAAAGTGTCGGATCGATATATCATTCGCGAAAATCCCCTCAACACAGTATTTGCTCTAAATCAGGAATTAAATTGAAAGCGGAATCCGGAAGGGAAATCCGGATAGGCAAGCACTCGAATGTCTCCTCCTATGACAAATGAGCCTGTTATTTCTTTTCTGAACGAGAGAACGTAAGCTAAATATGAACTTGAAGTCCGAACGGCCAATCATAGCTTGATGCGTGTTGTCGATATACGTGTTGCCAGCTGCAGCCGGCAGTGCGTTTTGAACTGGCACCGCGTGTGGTTGTCGATGCATGTGCTTCCAGTCATGCACTGTTGTCTGTCTCGATTCTACTAGCGTATGAGTCAGAGCACTCAGAGGTGTCTGGTGCGTAAAAACTAAGATTTTTTGTTAACTGATTTTAATGAATTGTATTATGATTGTTTAACATTCACGTTCATAAATTTAGTCTGCAATGCATAGGCTTAATTTCCGTTCAGAAATGGGATGTTTACCCTAAAAAAAATGCGTTCTCGATTGCCACTATGGTTTAACCCATTAAAGCCATAGGTAAGCCATAGGTAAGTAAACGCGGTATATTCCGACACATTAAGGATGCATCGAGAAATGAAAAACTATAAAAAATACCTGTATGCGTTACTCGAGTTCTGTTTGCTTTATGTGACTCGCAAAACACCGTACTACACGCCAGCAATGATGTAACGTCACAAAATGTTGCCATATTTATTTAAAAGCCTTTAGAATGCAAACCTACCAAATCTCTATATTCCGACACTGTGTGTGGCAATATTTGGCGCGTGGTGAGGCGTATTCCGTCCGCGCTTCAAATTCTACTGATACGTGATGCCGTCATCCACGTGTTCGAATTCCGTTCGCTGTGTGAGCTGTATTGGAATACAACATGGCTTTGAATTAGAACACTAATGAATATTGAACACTATTTAATTATGCTTTTAATTAACAACTATTAAGCTTTTAATTAAGCAAATTTTAATTTTTGTACATAGCTTGGAACGATCTGTGTGTGTCCAATTCAAGTTATGACGGAATTAGTTTTCATGTGTCTAAATCCATTTCTCAACTTAATCATCTATTAATTTATTTACCACTTGAAATCAGCGAATACAAGTATACTTAAAAGATTCCTAATATATTCACAGACGTATTTGAAAGTCTCAAACCATAATATTCTTCCTATACAAACAGTTATTCACCAT